AGCTCGTTTTCTGACACACGGGGACAGCCTGCTCTTGTGCTGTTAAGATTTCCTTCTTGAAGAGTGTCCAGCCTTCCTGGACTCCTTTGCCCTTCAGGACTGTCTGGCAACCAAGTTCCTAAACAGGCTGAAGTCTGCCTGCCAGGAGTCCGAAGTTTCAGTTCTGCTAACCCCTCTCCTTGCTTCTCCAAGGACTGAAAACTCTATTATTTCGCGATCACTGTGCTCAAGACAGCCTCCAACCGTCACATCCCCCACAAGACCTTCTCTGTTTGCAAACAGCAGGTCCAGCAGGGCACCTTCCCTTGCTGGTTCCTTCACCAACTGTGTCAGGAAGTTATCTTCCACACATATTACAGATCCTTTTTTAACAGCCAAAGGAAAACTCACTCCTTTCTTTCAAATAACACCCCTGATAGTCCACTGGTTATCTAATGGCTGACTGGGATACGGGAGATCAGGGACCAGCATCCTCCTTTGTCTGAAGAGCCAAAGCCTACATTCTTCATCTTGTGTGAACGTGTCCTAGCCACCAGGATGGTAATTACTCCAAGGACTCTAGCCTTGCATTTCCAAGCTGTTCACTTTTGTATGGTAGTGTTTAGAACCTTTGGGAGAGGGGAGTGGACTGGCTTTCCTAGTTGGCTTGAGACTGGGTTCCAGGTTTTCTATCTGTGTATCCATATTTTATTTATACATTTTATTACACAGCCCATTGAGGCTGGAGCTCTTATGTGAGTTGTGCTCACTTCTTTTCTGGTAGTTAATCTGAGTAATATATCTGGAGTGAAACAGTGTGAGCCAGATTAATAGTGAATGAAAGGAGATTCTGCAAATTATTAAATTGTTACACCTGCTCTCCAAAATGTCATTTTCATCAGGAATTTATATTTGGGATTGCACCCCCCCTCCTCACACCACCCCTTTTCTAGTGTTCTGACTTTATTTTAAAGATAAATTTACCTTATCTTCATGTTCCTTTGAATTCATGCTCTGAACAGAGCTACTTATTTCCAGTTGGTGCTTACTGTCAGAATTAGGTGGCTCATGATCATAATCATATTGTTCAGAGTGAATAAGGTCTTTAATCTTGACATCTTGGTAATCCCGGGTCTCTCTATGAACTGCACTATCATCTTCAGTGGTTTGTCCTTCTTCACGCTCAGTGCTGGTGCTCTCCTGGTCATTACTCTGGATTCTCTCCTCTTCCTCGTAGGCTGTTTCTTTCCAGGTATTGCTGAGATCTTCTTCACCATCAACATCACCACTATCATGACCATCATCATCAACACTACTGACCTCCATATCTTGTCTTTTCACCACTGCGTCATGATCATTCTGATAGTTTTCTTGAACGTTGCCTTCCCTCTCTTGGCTTTGCCACTTGTCATCCTGATCTTTGTTGTGGGTTTTTTGAGAGAGGGGAATTTCTTCTTTATAGGGCTTCTTCTGGCTATCCTCCTTGTCTTCTTCTAGGCCAAATTTCTCACCATGTCTCTTGGTTATCCAGATTAGTTGACTGGAATCTCTAAGGATTTCATCAGTTTGCATACTATTTTCATTTTCCTGTCTGTTGTATTGGTTACCTTGATTTGTCTGGTGGTCTTTGTGCTTCATATCTCTGTAATCAGTTTCTTCACCCCATTCCTCATCCTCCTCTTCCACACCTTCTTCATCACTTTCATGGTTGTTTTCAGATACACCAGCTGTATTTTTATTATATTTCCACATTTTGTGCTCATGTGCAAGACTGAGAGCATCTGCTGGATTTTCTGCATTGCCCAGAACATTTCTATTTGCCGTATTGCTGTGTTTCTCATGCCTCTTTAACTGGTAATGCTCAGTGCTGGACTGTTCTCTGCCACTGCTTCCAGAGTTGCTGTCCCAGTTATTAGAAGCCAAACCTGGTTTATTGTGCAGCAAAAGGAGATCGGTGCTTTTTAGAAGGCCATTTTTCATTTGTTGCTCATTACCACTTCTTCCTTGTTTTCTGATGGTCTGGGGCTCATCACTATGCTCAGCATTTGGTACTGATAGCTCTGGTTTTAAGTTTCTGTGACTGGGCAGCACATCACCCTTGTCTTCATACTCTGTGTTTGCTTCTTTTAGAGCTTCAGGATTAATGTCTTCAGTCTTAAAAAAAAATAAATTAGCAAGCAAATTAGTAACACTTATTTGAAGTCAATACTATGTTATTTTTCCCTTCAAAGCAAAGCATGAAACTGACTTTGTTTTCTTTGTAAATACTCCTGTTAAGGTAGCCCAGGGTGTGAAATTCACTGTTGACGTCATTTCCATTTCTTAGCAAATTGGTTTATCTGTCCCTTCTGTTCCTGGAGGTCCTGAAGAAGTCTCTGCAACTCTGTTTAGTATCTCATAGGAGATAGTTGCATATAGGTGTCTTGTGAAATCTCCAAGTGCTTAATCAATAATTTAGTGTCATAACTTCAGGCACTTGTTGTCGGCTGCAGTAATTATCACTTACCTCAGAGAAGGTGGATGTGATATTCATCTTCCTACACAGATTAATGGGAGGCCCGGGAAAAGAGGGGCAGGAGGAGAAAGCACCTTTCACAAGGTGCCATTGTAGTGATTCCTGAGGAGTGCACTGCATCTTAACTGTTTCATAATCAATGTATTAATCTACTTTAAGTCTGATACATCATTGCTTCCTAGTTGAGTTAATCAGGAACTGTTGTATTTGGTGGCAACTACTGTATCATAAGCTCACTGGTAGAAGTCATAGGTGTTTGAATGGCTTTTTTTTCCCTTGTGACTCTAGTGGAAAAGGTTCAAATGCTTGAGGAGAAAGCAGGTACTAAAATGGCTGATACCATATTTAAAAAGGGGGGAAGGGAACCCCTGTGCAATGAAAACTGCAGCCAGAGAGAGGAGTGAGAATATGTGAGAGAAACAACTCTGCAGACACCAAGGTCAGTGAAGGAGGGGGAGGAGGTGCTCCAGGCGCTAGAGGAGAGATTCCTCTGCAGCCCTTGCTGAAGACCATGGTGAGGCAGGCTGTCATCCTGCAGCCCATGGAGGTTAATGGTGAAGCAGATATCTACCTGCAGCCCGTGGAGTACCTCACATCAGAGCAGGTGGATGTCCAAAGGAGGCTGTGACCCCATGGGAAGACTGCACTGGAGCAGGCTCCTGGCAGGACCTGTGGATCCATGGAGAGAGAAACCCATGCTGGAGCTGGTTTGCTGACAGGGTTTGTGACCCCCTGGGGGACCCATGCTGGAACATCTGTTCCTGAAGGACTGCAACCCATGGAAGGGACCCATGCTGGAGCAATTAATTAAGAACTGCAGCCTGTGGGAAAGACTCACTTTGGAAAAGTTTGTGGAAAGCTGACTCCTGTAGGAGCAGCCCCACACTGTAGCAGAGGAAGAGTGTGAGAAGTCCTGCCCCTCAGGAGGAAGGAACAGCAGAGACAGCGTGTGATGAACTGACTGCAACCCCCATTCCCTGTCCTGCTGCACACTTGGAGGGAGGAGGTAGAGAAAATCAGGTGTAACGTTGAGCCTGGGAAGAAGGGAGGGGTAGGGGGAAGGTGTTTTAAGATTTGGTTTCATTTCTCATTACCTTGCTCTGATTTCATTGGTAATAAATTAAACTATTTTCCACAAGTTGAGTCTGTGTTGCCTGATGGTTACTGGTGAGTGATCTCTCCCTGTCCTTCTCTCGACCCACAAGCCTTTTGTTTTATTTTCTCTTCCCTGTTCAGCTGAGGACGGGAGTGATAGAGTGGCTTTGGTGGGCACCTTGCACCCAGTCAATGTCAACCTACCACAAAATGGTAGCATTAAAAATATTAATTTAGCTATTGGCAGATCAGCTGTACTCTAAGTTTTTTACAAGTTTGTCTTTTGCATAGAATACTTGCCGATACAGGAAAAGTACTAGGTAATATATTCACTATGACATTTCTAACTTTTTCAGGGAAAATTTGTTGTTTTGGTAAAAATCCAACAGAAATTTGGTGAAGAGCTTTTCCAGATAAGTGCTGTTTCTTGAAGACCTTATAAGAAATGATGTATGTGTTTCCAAGCATCTCAAAATGACAATAAAACATTTGAAAATTAAGTTTCAACAATAATTTACATGTGTTTTTGGCCACTGCTGTGTACAACATGTTATACGCCTCTAAGATTAAGCAAAAAGCCAGTCTTCTGTGAAGGGCTTCTAGTTCTACAGAGGAAAAACTATAAGGCCAAACAATCATTAAGATGTTGTTATATGTGCCTGTGTTTGAAGCAGTAGTATTTGAGAAAGATATCGTGGCTCATGTCTTGATGGAAAGTCTCATACAACACAGCCTCAATGTATATGTGCCTGGATGTGGCTTTCAGCTGCTGTTTTTTGTTAGACCTTTCTCCCCCCAAAAGACTAAACTTTTAGGACTCGGTTGCTCGTAAAGACACTAAGGTCTCTTAATATGATGGCGAATTTCAGTCAATGTAACTGTAATTACCTACTGTTAGGGGACAACTGGCCTTTGATAAATGTTGTATATTCACTTGGGACTGATGGTTTGTTGGGTATTGCAATGTTTGTCTGTTTTGATATATCTTCTGTAGGAGTTGTTTCTGGGAGACAGCTGCAGGCTGCAAATGAGTGTTTATACCATAATTTGTTCTGCTGGATACTTCATTAGGAGAAGTTAATTTTTTGTTTTTCACAATGCAGAGCACCATCTGGATTGACATGAAATGCATCTGGAAAGCTGCACAGAGTGGGATATAATTCATAATTTCAAAAACAGGTTAACATAAGAGTTGGGATTTTGCATTTGTTTTTACAGAGCATACTCTGAATTTAGTTACAAAACATATATTGGCTTGGAGCCAAGCTCCATTGTGTCTGCACCACAGATGCTCACCAGAATGGTGCAATAAAAAGGTATTTTAATTTGGGTCAACCATGAATGCAAAATTGTGAGCTCTGTCATTAGCATGCATATATGGCGTAGCACTGCTGAAGCAATCTGTCTCCTTGCCAACGGAACAATGTGTAATGTCAGCCACAGTGCACTTTTCCAAGACAAGCTGTATCTCTCTACTACTCTGTATTGTGAATAATAAAATCTATGGTGGGTAAAATTCTTGCATGTTTGAGACTGCATACGATCACTTGATGTGTGATTATTTGAGGGTTGCAGTCCTCCTTGTTTACTGGAGCAGTGATGACCGCAAGTTTGACTGTCAGTGGGGCTTACTGCTGATTGATTGTATAGGGATTGTATAGAGAGATTCATTTAAAGACATTTTTTCAAATAAGTGAAACTTCTGTTGTTAGCATTAGTCTTTGTCCCGTTCTGTTCCTAGCTATGTAATATGCAGGGCATGAGATACTTTGTGCTAATTACTGGAGCAAATGGGCGTACTTTTTTAACCTAAATGAATATGCCTACCACATATGGTAATGTGTTTTATGTATTTGGGATGAATAATACAGGTTGCCTTTTAATGTTTAAAGAACAAAAGTAGTACCTTTTCTGGAGTTTTCTCTCTGTGGGTTCCAAGTGTGTAGTTTAAAGGATGGCTCTAGAATAGACAAATATATTCAATATCTTCATGCAAATAAAAATCTTGTATAGGTAAATGGGATAACAGAGTCTTCACAAAATGGGAAATTTTAAGTGCACAGTAATAATAGCATGATGAGGACTTACTGGAATAGCAAAAGCTGCTCCTACAAGACAAAGGAAGAGAGCTACAGCTTTCATGCTTTTCAGATCCTGACCAGTATGACAGTTAATGGTACAGCGGTAGAGTTGGGAGGTTTCCTTTCTGTAAGTAACATGAAAAGAAATAAAGTTAGGATTTGGGTAAAATGATCTAGAAATGACTGATGGAAGCAATGTAGTGTCTTCTGTAACTTGCTGAGTCCAAAGACCCACAGAATTTCCATGCAGTGCCCAGTTGTACGTTCACTCAGGCATTAGACCAGCTTATCTAGAGGACACTTTGGTCGTAGTTCTTTTACAGGACTTAGGCTGTGTGCTGTGCTCACAAACTCTAGTGGTGTTACTGAAAGGCAGAGTTATGGATGTGTATAGGTTCAGCCCTGTACAGCTTTATCCACTCCTCTGGGGTAGTACTTTGTGAAAAATGTCCCTTTTTATTCAGTGTCCTGAGACACTGCCTGTTTGTGGCATCTCTAAGTTGGTCCTGGCTGCAATCCTGTGTGGCTGTAATGGAATAACTCAGTGGTGAAGCTCTGCTCTGCAGGTCTCTAAGTCCAGAAATGCTGTCTGAGCTGCGTGAAAGACTGGTGCAGTCCTGTTTGGGAGGCAACACACAGCTCTGCTGTGCAGTGATATGTGAGACAGATGGCTGGAAGAACATGCAGTGCAGTAGGAATTCTTTCAGTCTGTGCTAATATCCTCATGTGAGTGAAAGGCAGGCAACTCTTTTTACCTCTAGGATGCCACCAGCAAATTTTCTCACTTTTGTAGTGCACATAAACTGGAAGTTTATATGACTGTAGCTGTATCACTAGGAAAAGCAAAAATAAACCAGTCATATTGTTGCTGTTTCCCCCCTTTTTACTGTGTTGTTTTCTTACTCTTTTTAATTTTCTTCTGTTCTTTTTCTGTAGTCATACAGAATCACTGGGGTTTTCACTATGCTTTTTGTTTCTGCTCTCATTCTGCTGGCTGTTCTTCCTTGGAAATGCTCTCCTCAGTCTTCCCTCCCTTGCCCTTTAAAATATTTTCACTTTCTACCTAACTCATGTCCTTTTTCATTGCTTCCCCCTTTGCTAATGGAACATGTATCACCCTGTCCTTAGTTGATGAACATCGTGTCTTGCTGGTTGAACTCCCTGACATATGAAGAAGCTGTCAGTGGTTTCAATTGGTTAGGTCAACAAACACATGAGGCTCAGTGTATGATTTTAAAATGTTATTCATCCAGTTGGTTTTTCCTGGGGAGGCAGAGGAACCAAAACCCCAAAGGGAGAATTTCAGAGAAGCTTGCATTTATGGGTGCCAGAATGGAGGAGCAAGAAGCATTTTGAGCATTTTGAGCATTGACTTTTGGTGTAGAAGCTTGCAAAAGCATCCTGGCTACTGCTGTGCTTGGATCTGAAGTGTACATTTTGGAAGACCCCTGTGTTATACATTATTTAATGTCAATATCTTTTAGTTAATGAAGACCAAAATACTTCATTAGTGGGGCATATCTAGCATGCAAACCATTTTTCTTGCAGTTAACTGATTTAGTCTCCTCATTATCTCTTGTCTAATTATCTATTATCTCTTTGGCATCCAAAGTTAGTTGTTTAAGATGTTTTCAGAGGGAAATACAGAATACAACGAAAGTAATTAATGAGCATATGCAACATGTCTCACTGTATGGGCAGACACTTCAGATCAAGGCAGTTTTTGTTAGACTGATGGTGATGCAAGCAACATGGCAGAAATGCAGGAGCATAATCCAATTTCATGTATAGCCCTGAAAACTGTATGCTATGCTTTTGAAGGCCTGGTGAGTGACTGCAGAA